CGTTGTCGACACAATCGAAATGGAAACCCATGGAAACCCAAGTCTGATAAGATTTGTAGGGGGTGTTTGATAGGGAGGTCGATCAATAGATGAGTGAATGGGGAGGGAGAAAGATGTGGGGGTGAGATTAGCTGTTGCCATATTTACCATTTTATGATAGGAAAAAAAAAAAAAAAAAATCGAGGAGGAGAAGGAAAAACGAGGAGAAGAAAGGAAGATAATGGAGGAGGGGGAGAAGCAAAAGGAGCAGCAGGAAGGAAAACGAGGAGGAGGAAAAACGAGGACGAGTGTAAACGAGGAAGAGGAAAAACGAGGAGGAGGATAGACGAGGAGAAGGAAAAACGAGGAGGAGGATAAACGAGGAGGAGGAAAAACGACGAGGATGAAAAAAAAGGAGGAGGAGGAGGAGGAAGAGGACGAGGACGAGGAAAAAACTTGGAGGAGGAAGATAATGAGGAGGAGAAAAAACGAGGACGAGGAGGATAAACGAGGAGGAGAAAGGAAGAAAATGGAGGAGGGGGAGGAGAAAAAGGAGCAGAAGGAGGACAAACGAGGAGAAGGATAAACGAGGAGGTGGAAAAACGAGGAGGAGGAGGAGGAGGAGGAAAAACGAGGATGATTGAAAAGGAGGAGGAGGAGGAGGAGGACGACGAAAAACGAGGAGGAGGAGGAAAAGACTTGGAGGAGGAGGATAACGAGGAGGAGGAAAAACGAGGAGGAGGAGGAAAAACGAGGAGGAGGAGGAAAAACGAGGAGGAGGAGAAAAAAACGAGGAGGAGAAAGGAAGATAATGGAGGAGGGGGAGGAGAAAAAGGAGCAGGTGGAGGACCTACCAACTTAGGAAAAAACGGGGAAGCTCCACGTGGCCGCTCTAGACGGTGACCTCCAGCAGCTGTAATCGGCAGCCTCTCTCTCTCTCTCTCTCTCTCTCTCTCTCTCTCTCTCTCTCTCTCTCTCTCTCTCTCTCTCTATCTCTCTCTCTCTCCCTCTGTGTGTGTGTGTGTGTGTGTGTGTGTGTGGGCAACGATGATGACGTCACCAGATCATACACCTCATCCTCGCGGAAACTAGCCCGAACACCTCGTCGTAGCGGAAAGCAGCAGCACACAAGCTAATGGACGGATGACAGCAGTGCAAGTGAGATGACCGTTGTCGTCTCTCACGAAAGAAAGCACGAAACGACAAGTCCCTCGAGCCTGCATAGGAAAAGGCCAGGCCAAGCCCCCCCCCGCCCTTCCAAGAGGCCGGGGACCGGAGCCCGAAACGGCGGGACAACCCCCAAAAGTCGACATAGGCGACTTTGGCGATTTTTCACGCTTGGAAAAATTATCAGAAAAGTCTGAAAATTTGAGGGTCCGTAGATTTGCTTATTATCTTTCCAGAAAAAATATCAGAAAAAATTTAAAAAATCATTTAAACCTCGAAACAATCGCCGCGCCGATTTCCTACATGTTCCAGTTATTGCCACTGTGCCGTTTGTGGGCGAACAGGAAACGTGCTCCAAAAATTCCACGCTCCAAATAAAGTGTCGGCGTTCTCTGGAAATTTCTTTGTCTGTAGATTTTTTTTATTTTTTTTTTCCTTTCAGAAAGAGATCGCTCCCTTATAAGAAAAAAAATAAAAAAAAATGGGGATGCCCGGAATTCGTCCACAATACAACCCCCGAAAACATAAGACTGGCACCAACACCATGAAGCAGGGTCCGTAGATTTGCTTCTCAACGTGTCTGGGGAAAAATATATATATATATATGTTAAAAATATTTTAACCCTGAAATAAATCACAGATGCAGTACGACATTGTCCATCAGTAGCCACTCTTTAAGTCGTCCACACTGAACGACCAATAGCCGTAATGGACCTCTGCTACTGGTCCCCCCAATATCATGATGTCGGAGGGACTGGTGGTTAGGCAGCTGGGGCTCGCGCGCCACCTTGAAACGACAACAACCTGGCCCGGCCATACAACGCAGGCCTCAGTACGGGTTTGCGCGCCGATGTGCTACGAAGCGGAAAAAAGCCAAAAAAACATTAAAAAAAAAAACAAAAACAAACAGCAGGTGACAACCCGTTTTTTTCACACAAGCCGGTTCGTGTTCCCGAGGCCCCCGAAGTTGCGGTGGGCAACGACAATTGGCCGCAGCCAATGTATGGGTCAAGCACTGGTGGTTTAATGTGAAGTGTCGTCGATACGAAAGCAAGGGATTTCATTAATGCAGGACCCATGAACATAGTTGTGACAAAGCACGCCACAAACTGAGAAGCCCCTTATATGATGTCGACGCGCCGATATGATATACGTCGGGGAGACACCCAAGCAAGAACTGAACCCCCCCCCCAAAAAAAATCCCGCCCAACCAACCGCTGCGTAAACAAATAAACAACCCCCGTAGCACTGTCGTGCAAAAATCGTATGCATCTCAGTTGAATGTGGCAAAAAAAACATGTCGACCGGAATTGCACACCAGTAAACAATAGATTGAGATTATCACATCAATTCGCCAGGGAAAAACGGGAAAAATGAAGTTGACGAAAAAGACAAACACGAATTGTGCCGTATTGATGGCAAAAGCCCATGGACGGAATCCGCAAAGGAAAACCGTGTCGACCACATGTTGGTGTCCACCGACAGAGGGTGCGATTCCGGCCCACCTCCCCCGGGGGAGGGAAAAAAACGCCCRTAAGTGCGGGTGTGATCGAGGACAMAAGCGGTCCTCWTAGTGAACACAGGCCCACCACATGACGGTATCAGGCTGTCAAAATTGACAACGAAGAAACGTACGAAACATAACCCTTGGACAAAATCATAGATTACGCCGTATAAACAGGGGGTCACATCGTCCGGATAAAGGTACTCGCTCAGCGGGATAGACCGTTAGTCGGTGCGCATTCGTCCCGACGGACCTGAGCAGACGGACCGAAAAATGAAAAAACAAACTTAAAACAAAGAATGAAATATAAAAAATTTTACGAAAAAAAGTCGAAAGGTCGAAAATTGTTCCACATAAAGAAAAACACAAATGTCAGACACATTTGAAAAAGCTATAAATTAAAAGGGGTAGACAACAATTCCTTTCCGGGCGACACGCTTCGGAGGCACACTTCGGAAATCTGAACGGG